TTTCCTTGATGGAATGCGGAAGTGTGATCACTTGACAGACAGGATTTTGGCTGGTATCTTTGCCAACCCAACCTCTCTGTTGCTTGACACCAGATATGCAGTTTTCTGACTCACAGAATCTATTGTGTTCAACAGAATTAGTAAACTTACATACAACAAATTACTTTACTCAAGCTGGAATTATAAGAGTATAGTAAAACTCTGTTATTAAAGATATAATTGAGAATCATTAATGCAACATTTGATTATAATGATATTAAAATCATGAAGAGTTAAAACAGTTCCATCTAGTGTGACTAGTGAAGATTTTTGTTATTCCAATTATTTATGCCCCTACATGTTTTGGTCTTCAGAGACCATCTTCAGAGGGACACCTTTACATCAATACAGTTAGAGGTCCCTATTACAGTACATGTTCTAAAAGTTAAAATGTATACATTCAATATCAATAATATACACTTGGGTATAAAATCTAAAGTCTTTACAACTACAGCAGCTGTACCAATACATTTCTTTTGATGGGGCCCGAATGTGTGCCGCCTTGTTGTTCTCGAGAAGAGGGTTCTTTGATGTTGTCCTGTATGTATTTGTGGCGTGCTGTGTAGTAAGGGCATAAATAACTGAAATAAGAAAAATCTTCACTAGTCACAACTTTTCACGATAATTTTAGTGTGACAGACCAGAATGAAACAAATGATATTAAAATGTTTAATATTCCTGTTATTTCATTTTCATGCCACTACAGATTTCAATTTGCAGAGATCATCAGATGGTCTTTGAATACATGTCAATACTGAATTACCAAAACAGATCCATTTTTTACATTTTGTCATTAAATTTATAATCGTTCTTAAAATGGGGGAGGTATGTTTCGGGCACCAGTTTGTTATGTGGTGTATATGAGCAACTTAGTTTTTGATGTTTTAAGGAGCTCAGATTCTTCTTTTGGAGTAGGAGGGTGATTAGTCAGCTTATAGAGTTTGTGATATTGTAGGTGACTACGTGGTTTTCTGTGTCTTGTAGACCAGTGTTTCTCAACCATCAGGTCACAGCCTCATACAGGGCACTGGCATCAATCATACGAGGCCCTCATCTTTTAGAAAAAAAAAAATTACCAGGCCGCAGTCTGACAAAGGTTGAGAACCACTGTTGTAGATTTTCCATATTTATTGTAGCCTGTATAGCCATTACTGGGAAATGACCTCAAACAACGAAACAACATCCATTACTAGGCAATGACGAAATATACCAGAGTTGTTACTGTGTAACGCCTTTTCAAACATAACACATTCCTATGGCAATAATTTAAGCAACAACAGAACAACTGTGTTTCTTCAGGTCCAAGCCAAAATATTATAACCAAGACATGTTTAGAAGTTTAGTTCAGTTGGAAAGGAGCTGTCGTTTAGAGAGGACTTGAGCATGGAAGCAGAAGAACAGCCACTGTTGGAGCCATTACCAGGAAACGACTAGTGGAGACTGTAACAGACTGAGAACACTAGGCTGTGCCCTCTGGTGATCTGTACAGTGTGGAGATAAGTGATGGTGCTATAACTAAGTGTGGTTATGAGTTGCGTGTTAAAGTGGTATGAAATCCAATCTCCAATCCAAAACCTCATTGAGAGTCACTCAAACACAGGACAGTATTATACTGGTGAGTATATAAGAAGCTATCTGTATAGATTTCTCTACTTTGGTATGAGCTGCCAGGCTGGTTTTTATGCTGTACCTTGTGCACTGTTGAGTGTTGGGAGATAAAATAACCCAAATATTAAATATTTTAATATCAGTTTATAATTGGCCATTGTGTGGATGGCTCTCAACTATATCTTTAATCACAATGCACAACAGGACGCAAAAACATAGAAAACTCAGTAACAATGAACCTCACTATACCACAGATTCAGATATACTAGAGGTCTAGTCATGCCTCTCAAAATAATTCCATTTATTTTCTTTGTAAACAACTTCATTTTGAACTTTAATGCAATTTGTTTCTTCATAAACAACTCTGTTCAAATGACTGCATCCAGTCGGTCATTCTGGTTGGATAATATGACCTTCCATTTAATCGGTGATTTGCTAAGCAGACACTACATGGGATACAGAAAAGCCCTCCAGTGCTGGAGCACTGTTCGCAGCTGTCAGCAATTCGGAGCTACAAGTGCCACAGTTCCTGAAAACAGTTACACTTACAAATATAGCCTGCAATATTGGCCTGGCATGGAAAAACATTAGTTGTATTACAGTTAAAAATTGCTGGCCCAAATGCATTTCTGCAACATATGATAGTATCGAACATTAAGAACAGCTCCTAGGTTTCACAGAAGAAGATGTGGCTGAAGCCTCCAGTACTCTTTATGATATACTACAGGTAAACAACCTGTAAGCCTGGGTTTGCGATGACAAAATTCCCACCATTTACAAAGACAATGAAGAAATTGCAGCTGAAGTCCTGAACCATGGAAGAGCAAAATATTTATTAGAACTTGTCGGCAAGATTGAAGAAATGTGTCGACTTGAGACACTTAAAATTAGCATAGAATTGGAGAGCATCAGTGAAGTGGTGAATTGGATGGAAAGATAGAATGGCTGGGATCATCTCCATCTTTTACATTTGCAAAACATTAAGACATATGTGACAAAAAAAATATCAGCTGTTGCACAAAAAGAAAATATTGGACTATTTTAAAAACACTNTGTCAGTAACAGTCTGTCCAGGCGGTATGAACTCATGGTGCACCAAACTGTCGATGTCAAAGAATGCAATGAGCACCACTTTGTCTTTGGATCTGACGAGGCGTCATTTTTTTGGCCGGGGAGATGACGCTGTGTGCCACTCCGATGACTGCATCTTCGTCTCCGGGTCGTAGGTGAACACCAATGACTCATCACCAGTCACAATCTTTTTGAGAAACATCAGGTCCTGTGTACTTTTGTCAAACAGATCGCCAATGACCATCATACGACATTCCATCTGATCCGTAGTCAGCTGCCTCGGTACAAACTTCGCATTGATGAGTCTCATCTTCAAATCATCGGACAAAATAGCATGAATGGATCCATGAGAGATACCAACTTCTTGCTCCAACTCCACGATGGTCATTATTCGATAACACTGAATAAGTTGTCGCACTTTTCCAATCATTTCTTCGGTTCTGGATATCGAAGGTCTCCCGCTGCACTGGCCATCCTTTAACGTCTCCTGCCCATTCTTAAACCAGGAAAACCAGTCGTGAACTGCAGATTTCTTTAGTGCAGTATCACCGTAAACTTGCTGCATGGCTGACTGCGTCTCTGAAGCAGATTTTCCCAATTTGCACATGAACTTGATATTCGTACGCTGTTCAAACTGCGACATTGCGCTGAATGACCAACACTCACATCTAATTCAAACGGAACAGTAACAACACTGCACACTGAAACCTGTCCAGACCTGTTACACCTGCGAGCAGACATGCTGAGCTCCCCACCACAACAGTGTGTGCACTATCTTATCGCTCGTTCTCCGTCTGCAGGGGATTTCTGGGAACTTTTTGACTGCCCTACGTATTATTAAATATATGTGTAACATTTAAAACAAAGCTCTCAGTTGTGAAAACTGTTTATAGAGAATGTTGCTGAAATAACAAGGACATGGATCTGCTCCTCCTGCTCCTCCTCTTCCTCTTCATCGTTTTTTATTTACTACCTTTCATTGTCATCTTGTGAATCTCACTGGTAACTATTTACATACATGTGTTAGTTCAGTTGTGGGACTGTCATAGTTGCCGCAAGTCTCCAGCAACCACACTCTGTGACCGGGCAACTAACGCAGCTGCTGCAACTCCAGCAAGCACACCATGGGCAGCTGTTTCTACTGGCGCATGCAGCACTACATCACCGGCCAGACAAGTCAGCTGAATGGCCGTAAAACTTGGCCTACTACGAAGGAACAAACGGCCCTTTTCAGGGCCTGCAAACTTTCCGAAGAGGTTGTCTATTGGAACCTTGACAATCCCACACTGGTGACCCCGACGTGATGATCTAGAGGCAGGTTAGACATCGAGTGCTGTATAAATATGAGCGCAATGTGCAGCAATGTGATTTTGACTTAGGAGTGAGTGTTGTCTGTTAGACCGGCGAAACAGCGTATAAGTATGTGGGATGTTCCCACACAGTATTAGTTCTCATATTATTTACATGAGCAGAGCAGCTGCTTCCTTCTCCCCACAGGGGGGTTGTCAGTAGCACCCCTGCACTTGACTGGAAGGAGTGAGAAAACCACGCACACAAAAAGAAACAATTGTTATGATACTTGGCCTCCAGGCTGAGAATCAAATGGGTTTTGGTCCTACTAAATACAGCCAGAAATGATAATCAAACTCTTCAGTAAAAATGAAGCTCTGATCAAACATTCTTAACACTGTCCCTTGCACATAAGTTTCCAAACAAAATGGTTCAGCATAGAATTTAGCACATCTACTGATAAGAAATTGGAAATTGGGGTTCACTTTTATACACAGAACACATCACTCATTTGCTCTCTAGTATATAAATAATATCTGAAATGAAATATTTTAGAAACCCCTTTCTTCTGACCAAAATACTTTGCATATATCATTTACATATCAACACCTAGAGGTTTGGATGTTATCCATGTTTTTCAGTATTAGTCTGTGATGTTACAGCTCTAAAAATTCAGTCACAGGAAACATCACGTCTGAACCCCACAATTAGTGGTAGAGGATGTGAAGTCAGTACCTGAGATGTATGATTGTGGGATTAAGAGCTGCTGATAATGTTCCCAGAGCCAGTCAAGTCAGATAACAAAGGTACAAATTCCACATCAGTGCACCAAGTTCCAAGGTTTAGCAAGTGCTTGTAACTACATCACATGAATAATAATCTACTCATAAGTTACTGAAGGGGAAATAATGAGAAATAAAGGTCTGAACATGGAGTTAATTAACAAAAAGTCTGATGTTGGCATAAACCGATTTCAAGTTCAAGAACCTTACCGTGTCATTGACTCTTTGTAGTCCAGGTCATCAATGCTGAATCTCTCACGCAAGTTACGGAACACCAAAGGACAGTATTCTTTTACTTTGAAGTGACTTGGCATGTTTTCTCTGAAACAAGGAAGTTTGTTAAAGTGACTTTAAAAACTCCCTGCATCAACGTAATTAGAGAAAATCCCATTTAAATGCAATGATGAGATAATTTACCTATTATCTTTATAAAAATGAAGAAATTCAAATATAGGGAAGCTGCCTTTTAAGACTGATTGGTCAGCACTTAATTTAATGCTAAACTGAGTAAATCTTAAATTAGGGACAGATAACACTGAGATTACTGATTTTAGATCAATCAAATTTAACATTAAATGAGAGAAAATGTAAAGTCTATGAACATTAAATGGAAATTCCATAATAATTCTGTATTAGAATTTTATGTTCTATATTTATGCTTATACTTTCCAAATCACTTCTCTGTATTTAGGTGTTACAGATGAAATGGGTAAAAACAAATTTTCTTGTCATTCATATTTCATCCCAGTTAATATTTTATAAAATTAGTTCCTCGTATACATACTTCTGAGGTACCACATTTTATGGTACCTGTGTCAAATTCAAATGTTTTCTTGCATTTTAAACAAACACAGTAAAAATATGCAAATCTGCTATTACATTTTCTGCCTTTTGTGCTTTAGAAGACATCAAATGTGAACATATTTTGAGACACCCTGTCACTATGTTACAAATTTAACAATTTCCAGACTCCTTATGGAGAAACCGAACTTTCTTGCCTTAAGACTTAGGAAATACATCTTTAGTACATACACGTTTATGAGGGTTCATCACCCAAATACAGTCTTCTGAGATGTGGCGCCATGTAGCTATTGTGTTAACACAATATCTACATCCCAGAAGACTGCTTTCTTCATAGTCACCATTCTGAAAACCTCAGATCTTACATACTGTCTGTAGTTTATTCAATGAGGTCAGTAACACAGACTACATAACAAAAATATAATGATTTCATAAAAATGGGGTGATGTGTGCCCTGCAATATACATAACCCACAGAGCTTGTATGAATGATCTGACCACCTCAACAAGAAATAGTACAGTTCCTACAATTTATATTCATAGTTTAATACCTTATACCTGATATGGTTGTTCAGTAACAAAACAGTGTTCAAAAGTAGCCCACATTAGAGAGCTCTATCACAGTTAAAAGACTGACAACCTCAGAACTAATTGGCTATCAGTCATTAGCTTCACACTTTGGACACTGTACCAACACTAGGCAATGGATGGATGGACCCCAAGGTCACTGTGGATACTGTCATGAAGAGAAACATCCCACAATACCAGGAATCACATATGAACCATGAAGTCTGTATAACCTGTCAATTTACCAGCCATGGCTCTCTTCAGTCTGGATGCTAATAAACTTATATGGCAATGAACAAGAAGTGTTCCACTTGTGAACCATCTCTCTCTTATTACAAGTAGTTTATACAGCACTCAGATGACTGAACTGTAAGCAGAATGAAACACAGCTCCTGTCTGCTGCTGCAGCCATTGCTACGTCGACTGCCGCCCCCACCACCACCACCACCACGACTACTACTACTGTTGCTACTATTACAGAAATTACAGCATGTTACTAACATGGCAAAGCTCATTTACAACTGAACCCCATGGGGCCCAAAAATTTTCACATTTAATAAAGTACCTGCTTCTATAGTGCAAATGCTTGACAGCTTTCTGCCTATCTCTAAGTTGCATGTGTCCCACTCCTCCACCTGGTCAGCTGAATGATCTGCGGGAAGCTCTCAGATGATAGCAACGTAGATAGATGTATACTGCATTGTACATACCTTCTGCAGTTATGTAATTACAATCCAAATTACAAGAGTGCCACATATTCCCCCCCCCCCCACAAGTAGTCCATTCAGTTATTCTAAACATCTGTTGATGGTCAAGTTCAGTTCTTTCCCAACCGCAACACGACTGTGTGTTCCTTCTCAGTTTCCAAGCTGAACAGTTCAGAATGAAATGATAGGCACAGAAAACAAGGTATAATCAACCACATTATTTTTCATTCAATTCTCTTGTTTTCTTTAGTTTTCACTCTATATACAAAGTAACAGAGAGGAGTTACGATAAAGACAAGTTTTCCTTAATGCATGTTACATTTCTGACAGGGTTTACTCCATAACCTGTTACTGTCACTGTTACTACTGCTGCTGTTATTAACTACATTCGTAATTTTGAAACACATACTACTGATACATACACTACACTCAGGCATATTAAAACTTACTTGTTGAACAAATGATTGTCAACCTTTAACTTTGAATAGGCTCGAAAATCATCTGGCAGGAGCATTACTGGAATTGTCACGTGGCTAAGTTCATTGATCTGCAAGGAAAAAAATAAATAAATAAAACAAATCAAAATAGATGCAATATACAAACTCTCTATACAGACAAAATGTTTCAATCCTGAGAACACTCTGATGAGAACAGACTACTGTTTCAACATCCCAAGTGAAATTTACTCATAAATGTCATACTAACCATTCCTTTAAAGCACAATAGATCACTGGAGGTCGCAGTGCGAGGACCGGTTTCTATGGCTCTCCCCTCATACTCATACTCATCCATTCCTTCTGATGTGTGACCATAAAATTTCATTTAAAACATTCACTGGTATCTCAGAAATTTCTGACAGTTACTGGAAACACTCTACATCTGTAGTCAAGAGGTTCCTGGCTCAGATTTCAACCAAGCTAACAATATTCTGACTAAATTGTTGTAGCTTTTCTCAGCCTCTTCAAGCAAATGCAGAAATAATACCTTTGAAATAAGTCATACCTGTCTCCTTCAAAACAGATATGTATCCTCATTAAATACTACATAATCTTACAGTGGCCAAATCAAGGAAAATGCATGAAAGGGCATGGAACATTCATGGAGGTAATAAATGTAACAAAATTTTGGCCAAAAAACTTCAAGGGAAGACACCAACTGGAAGACTTAGGCACAAGCAGAAGAAAAAACTGGATCTTAGAGAAGCAGGATGTGAAGGATAGCCTGAATTCAACTGGTTCAGGATAGGATCAAACAGCACTTGTAACTAACATAACATATATACTGGTTTGCATAAAAAAAGGAATTCTTGATCAGCTGAGCAAATGTCGACAGCACAAAAATATCCTGCACCAAGGAATCAGACTAGATGAAGTTTCAGTGAAACAAGGAACAGAACTTGTAGATTGGGTGTCCCAAGTTGTAATGTGAACATCTCACTATTTTGAATATGTATACATAAATGTTTCATGTCATTGACTTTCAACTCTGGACACTGCAGTGCTGAGAACTGCTGCTCTGTTCAGGTGGTCTTGTGTTTTGAATATCAGTCTTAAAAAATTTGTTAATCTGGCTGTGATTTTCATGGCTCTCTTTTGTCCATCCTTGAAAATGCCAGACCATAACCAGTTCATTCCACACTTCTTTTCAATTCAATGTACACAGCCATCCCACCATTTGATGCTTTATAAACTATAAGGTTATAATTAGTCATTTTCCGTAATTGTCATTCGGCTACTGACTGAGAGGACAACAAGACTTAAGATGACCAAAATGACAATGGTGATACCAACACAATATTTTGATTTAAAGGAACAGGCCTTAGTGACCTCACCCTGTAAAATTCACGATGATGATAAATCACAGCTCAGTTAACAGCAAGGAGAATGCACTAGTCGCCGTTACTGCTTCATACTCACGAGATTCTGGATTTGAATCTCACCCCAAAATTTGAACAGCCTATTTGTGGTTTTCCTCGCCCCCACCTCCCACCAAGCATAGAGGAGGCAGTTAATTAAAATAGGCCACGAATTCCTGCACGTACTTCCAAATTCATCACTCACAATCCTGTAATTCGGCACTACAAAACACACAACGCTGATAAACAAATCGATAAATGAATAAACAACTGCATGAGAGCTGGTGCAGCAGTATCGCTTGATTTTCAACAGGCAGGTAATCGGTTCGATGCCAGCCGGGGGCTAGCTATACATGCAGAAGTTTTCATGGTTTCCATAGTTCCTCATCTCGGAGGACTCTTTTTAAAGTCCCGGGACTCCAAACAGGCAATGGCCGCTTCCTTCCGCATCTAACATGATTCATCAGTCATCACTCAACTTCGGCAGTTCGAATAACGAAGCAAAAATAACAGAATAAACAATCTTCCATCATTAATCTTTGACGGTCTATGGCTTACACCTAAGTTGTACTGCACAAATTATGGGGGAGGCAGGCATTCAAACTTCTCCGTGAAATATGTGGAACCAAACAACGAAGCATGCTTTCTTGACAAAAACTCGTAGAATGTCCGTAGAAGAGCTGATTTGTGAAGTTACGTAATAATGTGGTCTCTGTTGACCTTATTTCTCGAACACCACCTCCCCCTCCCTAAAATATAACATGAATACGTTCATACGGTTCACATTCCTGCTTCGTATTCGGGATGTCCCGGGGTCTAATCTCGATCTGATGGACGGCCATCCTGACGTACGTTTTCGCAGTCTTCCTCAGTTCCTCGAAACATACGAGTATGCTGTTACCTATAGACCTACAACCCTCCGTAGCTGCAACAGTCGAGCTGGTACTGCTGCACGGTAAATAAGCGCTACATTAGCCTGGTCAACCATGGTCGTCGTCACTCAGACGCCGATGTGTTTCGACGATTGGAGCAGCGCCTTCATGAGAGAGCAAGTGTAACAACTACGACACACGTGAATGCAGGTCGTGCAAGGCCGAACAGACACCACCTAATGAATATATCATAATTGCAACTGTGGGACGAGAGCCGTGGATAAACTCACGCGATATTGCGTGAAAACTGAATGACTCCAACTGAGGGTCCTCGAAACACTTCATCACGATCAACTGCTACATCCGTACTATTCGCGGAGCGCGCACCTCTTCCCAGACGATCGTCCTCTACGGATGCAATTCTGCAAACTGCTACGACATTAACATACTTCGGATGATCTTTTTTATTATAACATCCTGTGGACACACACCATATATTTTGCTTACAAGTTGGTTTCCAACGTCCAAAATAGTCACCTCTCGGCAGGAGATACTCCCCATGCTATCCACGAAAACGGGTATCAAGCCCGCTTCAGCGTCATCATTTGGGCTGGTATTGTCGGAGGCCTTATCGAGGGCCCCTAATCTACTACTCAACAGGTTGACTGCTCGACAATGCCGTGATTTTCTAGAAACACGACTGCTCGAAGATGTCTCTAGCGGTTAGGCGCTTGCTTCCCACCGCGGCGGCCCGGGTTCGATCCCGGGTCTGGTCAAGTGGGATTTGTGGCGAACAAAGTGGCGCTGGGGCAGGTTTTCTCCGAGTACTTCGGTTTCCCCTGCCAATCTTCATTCCAATTGCTCCACAATCACCCTCACCTATCATCTGGAGCTGGTACAATAGGCCAGAAGTGGCCGCAGTACGAGGGACTTAGTCCCACCCCACCAGCAATAAAAAAAAACTGTGAGGTAGAGATGGAGCTGCAGTGCACTACGGGGAAGATGTAAGGCAGTGGTTGAACGCGACATATCCACGATATTCGACGGCGAATGCAAGGCTCCTCACGCCGGATCCAACTCCCATGGATTTGTTCCTTTGGGGAAACCTGAAAGAGTACGTTTATGCAATCTATCCCAGGACTGTCATTGATCTCACGGTAAGACTTCAAGCAGCCGTGACAACGGTCGATGCCAACATGTTAATGCGTGTCCGAGAGAACGCCGTGAGGGGCAATGCTGTCTACTTTAAAACGGACGGAGGCCGCTTCCAACAGTTATTGTAACTGTTATTGTTAATAGCCTGGACCATTTGACGATGTCGTGTATCTTGAAAACTGAACGTCATAATACATTCCTTATACAAGGTTTTCGACTTGCTCTTTAACAAGGAATCACACTACGGACATCTTGTGTGCCAGTTTTGTTCTACCCTGTATATACTTAACGCAGCTGAAAAGGCATCATTAAATGAACAAAGACTCAATCACAGACACTCTATTAATTTAGAACATCACACCTGTCAGACGGACCCGTCAACACAAAACACCATAAGAATAGGGATAACAATGGGTAGAAACAAGGGCTTTCTCCCTGGTGGTATTCAACGGTATGGCGTACACGTACATTTGTTCGTAACACACACAATAGAAAAAAATATATTTAAACACGAAGGAATGACTGGACTGGAAAAAACTAATATACAATTTATTTAAAAACTTAAGTTTACCTAAATATTTTTTGCAACAAACTTAAAAAATTGACCCCCATACCTTGCCCATGTCATTTCCGAATGTCAGTAACTGTCTTTGTAGAAAACGAGCGAAAAACAAATTACTGATTAGAACAAGTTATCACCACAAAGCAGGTAACAATTCGTTATATTTGGGGGAGGGGGTAATAACATACCGTGTCGGATTGGTAAAAATGATCAGTGTTTCGAAGGAACTTATCTTCTCCTTCACGGTCGACTTTGGTGTAAGAGGAAGCACAATTACTGACGTTTCAAAGAAACTTCTTGCCTCCTGCACTGAAAACCCTTTAAGGAGGCGACAAACTCTTTACCACATGGAGGCGGAGCTATGCCCAGAAGACTCTACAATGAATATGTACAGAGGTAAAAACCTCAGGTCTAATACAGGCAAAACTAACTACCCTCTCTCGGATGAAAAACAAGTTTGTAATTCTGCTCACTCTGTATAGAAATAAGTACCAGGAATTAATTAAATAATTTTCCTGGGGACTAAAGCGCGGCCGGCGCGTAAGGCTGACAATCTTACCGCCATCTTTGAGCCGATTGTCTAGATAATGTGGGACCCACAACGTCTCACAACCCTATGGGCCTTCACGGCTTGTTACAGGTATATCTATAGTTTTTTTGTTACTGTATAGGCCTACTCTCTTCTGGATGAGGGCCAATCAAAATTAAACATAGACCAAACACCCTACTATCTAGGCCTCACTCAACACGAGCTGCCAAGTAGACAAAAATACAAATTTAAGGAATCTCTTGTCTACTATCAGAGCAGAGCTAGTGATGTAAAAATAGAGCAAACTTCTACTCCAAGTTGGCCAACAGAGTTGACATATACAAATAAAGAAATACATTTCACGGCTTAGTCTGTACGCGTTACTTGCATGGAGGGCACAGAATTAGAACACACAGGGAAGGTGGTCTGTGTATGTTCTTTTGTTTCAACTCCGAAACAATCACACACGGATTTAGATTAAGTTCGTGTTAGGAGTCCATGCCATCGGGCGAATTTAATTCTGGTCCGTATCGTTTCAGTATACTCCTTACTTTACACGACGCTCTAATCGAAC